ACCCCCCAGGACCCCCCCCGCCCCAGCGGTTAGCCGATGAACTTGCTGCGGCTGGACTCCAGGAACATCTCAATGTCCTTCTCCCTGCAGCAAGGGGACAAGGGCAAGAGTCACACTGTGCTGGGGACACCACAGCCCTGGGCACGGCCCCCAGGAAAGGCCTCGTGGTCAGATAAAGGGGATGGTGCCAAGCCCACCTCATCATAATAACCACCAATGTCACCATCAGATCCACCACCCCACGCCCAACAACCTCCCCACGTCCCTGCTGAAGCTCTCAGCACCCAACACCCCCCGTTGCCCTCGCTGCAGGTCCCCCCCCCACGGACTCACCGGACCTTGGGGGCCCAGGGCAGCCCCTTGGGGCAGGTGATACGGTCACTAGGGGGGTGCTGGATGGGTGGGGGCATCACTTCATCCCGTTCCAGGGGGAAGGTCTCTCCCTCCAGGCTGTTGTCATCATCGTTCTCCTCCTCTTCCTCGCGGGAGTCGTCGGCTTTGTAGGGATCCCTCTCGTTGAAGGCGTCCAGGTTGTCCTGCTTGATCAGGGCCTGGAGAAGAGCAAGGGGGGGTGAACTCCTGGGGGGGCAAGCTGCTCCCAGGGGAGGGGCAGGTCCTCACCTTGTGATCCCTCCGGCCTCGTTTCTGCTGCTGCTCGATGAGGTCGGAGGCGGAGGCGGGCGGGGAGGCGGCGCGCATGCTGCGGATCACCTGGATGCTGTCCTCGGGCAGGGGGGGCAGCCCCAGCAGCTCCCTCTTCTCTGCCTTCATGCTCTGCAGCTCCTCAAACCCCCCCAGCGTGCACTGCAAGGGAGGACACGGCACCCTAAGCACAGGGGATGGCACAGTGGCAAAGGGCTTCCCCCTCGAAGGGACACGAGGCTGCTCGGGCGGCCACAACTGAAGGGTCTGGGGGGTTATTTTCATGCAGAACTCAAACCAGGATCTTGGTTTGGGTCCATCCTTGGTATCCAGCTCCAGACACCAATATCCAACACCCCCCTGCAGGGAGAAACCTGGGGGTGGTTTCCCTCACTCCAAGGAGGATCTTGAGGAGCTGGAGCGTGGCCAGAGA